GCCTAGAGTGAGTTTTTCCTTATGTGAAGCAGTTCAGCATGTCAGACTGCAATAAAGCATTTTGGTCAAGGAGAGACATCTTATGCAATGTAGGACTTGTAGTTTAAAAGGCTACTTATACAATGATTTACTACTCAGGTTGTTAATATAGATATCATTACCTGTGTTTGAACGGTGAGTCCATTGAAAAAGAATGGCTTTGATCATTTACAGACTTGTAGTTTTACTATTTTCCATGTACAGTTATCTACAACTTTTGGTAACTGAAATTCTAAGTGCCTCATATATCAATTTCAGGATCAGAATCTATAACATGCATTCTTAATATGCACAGAGGGCGACTGTGACCATAAGTACTTGCAATGAAGTGCTTAAACCAGGGATAAGCAACTTGTCCCCTTTAAGGACCGAGGGACTTCAGCTCCCAGAATCCCAGGAGCTACTGGCTAATATGAGACTATTGGCCAACATGGCTGAGGCTTCTGGGAGCTGAAGTCCCTTGGCCCTTAAAGGGGACAAGTTGCCTACCCCTGGCTTAAACTTTCCTCAGTTTGATTTGGAATTAAGTGAACAAGCTGCAATAACTATTTCCTTTCAGAGAAGAGAAAGCCCTTCAACATGTTTTCTTAGAGTTCTATTCCATTTACACGCAAACTGATGTTCCTACCAGGTGGCATTTATTGCAATGGTTTTCCTGGGGTATTTCTTGAAAGAAGTGAGTTGAACCTACCAGTCACAAAATGGTAGTCTAGGGGCAGAACCTGAACACAAAATGGCAATGGAGGAAAATGTACTTTGGTAATTTTATTAAACAGAGTAGATTGCCATCTCTTGTGGGTGTGCTGTAGCTGTGGATTCCTGCATAGTAAGGGTTTGGACTGGATGGTCCATGTCATTAATCCCAGAGGGTGAGGCTCGGGGACAGTTGCTCTTCCAAAATTGAGCTCAATTGTGGCATCCCTCAGGGCACCATCCTGTCCCCAATGCTATTCAACATCTATATGAAGCTGCTGGGTGAAATCATTTGGAGGCATGGAGCGCGGTGTCTTCATTATGTTGATGACACCCAGATATACTTCTCCATGACCAGATTATCGGCTCAGACTTCA